TTAAGAAGCGTCAATCTTGCAAATGGCGACCGCTTCTTCTGTCTGATCTGTGTAAAGGTTACTTGGCAAGAGTACGTGCATATAACATGTAACTGAAGAACACTTTGCCACTAAAAAGTAATGCACATAAACATAATAATAATAATACAGTACTTGAAATCAGTTCAAATAAATACCCACATACAGATGAAATTATTTGCCGTAACAATATTTTAAAGGATCAATACTGTAAAAGATGAGAATATAAAATCCCGACAACTAGAATTTATACTGTTTTTCCAGCAAACAGAAATCTTTATTTTTTCTCTTCCCCCTTTTATTATGCGGTTAGAATTTCACGTTACTATAGCCGCCATCTTACAACAATGACGTTCTTGTAGCGAGTACCAATTAAAAACAATTGCTCTGGCCTCAACAAACTGCCGCCTATCCTCCGGACGGGGCTTGTTGATGCGCCATCAGTTTCTGTTTCCTGCAAACAACAGAGCTTACATAGGACATGCAAAGATCAATGTGTTGTTTGTCACATTTGCCAGCAATAGAATGTCAAGGCCGCATCCACCGCTGTGGAAAGAAGACAGAGTCCGCATATCCCACCATTAGGTGGACAGCCACCATAAATGTAGAAGTAATACATCTTGCGTTAATAATAATTTAACAACAAAAAAGAATCAAAGCTATTAGTTTTGGTGTGCAATCTTTATTTTCCTCAGTCCCTGAATTAGCAAGGATCTGCGCTGGAAAAAAGAATCACTGACCAACGGAATTTTTTACAATTTTTAATTTCCCGTAAATGTATATTACTTAAATTCCCTAAAAATATGCAAGATGGCGTTTTATTTTCAATGTTTCCTTTCCACTTATTGCTCTGTATGATTTTATTAGATTTCAAAACTGTTTTTGTTTTGTTTTATCCTTTGCCCCCCGTCAAAGCTAGTCTAAGATTCCCTCTTCTGTAATATAAAAGGCACTACTGGTATCCGTAACAAAGGCTTACAAACACTTGGTAATTGAGTTGAGAATTGAAACTTTCTAGGTGTACCATCATTTGGCACGATAATAATAAAAGCAAAAAACAAACAATTCCAATTTGGAATTTAAAAATCGGTACAGTTGTATAAAATTCTGTTCATCAGCAATTCTTGACTGTCCTAAAAACCAGGATAATCTGACATTTTAGGTAATACTACTTATTAAACTTTTTTTGTCTTTTCAAGTGCCTATTACCGTTTTAACCAAAGAAGTCAAGTTTTTTCCTTGTTACATTAAGCTATTCCTAAGAATAATAATATAGTATGAAAATCCCAGAATTTTCAGACCCTGGATTTTTTTTTTTTGTAATGAACATGGCAGTTAAAACCAGTAATTATTACACAAACAAAAATATTATAGTGAAAAAGCTATAATAAGACAGAACATATATAATTATATATATATTAACAACAAGGAGTGTTGAAACAAAAAAAACACAAAAAGAAGAAAAAGGAAAAACAAAAACACCAAAAATAAAAAAGAAATTCCCTGCAACATGCTGATAGAGAAATCAACAAGCAGAAGCATTAATACTACCCATAGAAAAAAAAATCTTCATGTCGCAGCTATTAATGGCGCTAGAACATGTTTTATTAAAGGACTACGTAAAATATAAAGAAACAAAAATGAATAAACTATAAAAAGTGCACAGGTTTAATATTCTGATGTAACGTAATAAAAAAAAAGAAAAAGAAAAAATTCCCATGTGACTGATATGAGCACAGAGATAGCTGATCATAGTGTTTGTTCAGCACTTGAGCATTTTTTTTCTTCCCCCAGCAGCACTTCATGGTAAAGCTTTTAATTTATGGAGAGTATACCAAGAACCAAAAAAAAGTTAAATAATGGGAAGGACCGCTTACTGTGAAACCTAATATAAAAGGAGGGTGCAGTAGTTTCTTGTCTTTTAAATTTGTGTGCCATTGGCTCTAACTGTCAAGGGTAAGTTGGACTGGAATTACGTGCATTTCAATGCATCGGTCCGCACGTTCTTCTCCGGGGGTCTAGTCTACAACTGGAAAAACATAAAATAAAAATTAGATTTGTAGCATTTTAAACTGTGACTCAACGAAAGAAGCTGTGCCGAGTGAGTTAGTCTGAAAAGAGCCAAGACCGGGCAGTTGTTAGTCGTCAGGCTTAAAGGAAAAGGCTGTGCTTTCAGCCATGAGCTATGAAGGTAGGTATCTGTAGGTAGCAGACTTCTCTCATGTATACGTTGACATCTGCCTGGCCATTTGAGCTAAACTGGAAGTGCAGTAAGTAGAGAGAAGCTTTAGATCTCCATGCAGCGGTCATGTAGGGCGATGCCAGTGGGCACGCAAGGTGCCCACTAATGAAAGGAGCCGCAACAGACAGCAAAGCTTTACCAAGGGATAGAATAAATGCCTTAAACAAATGTAAATAGTTATTTTTAAAAACACTTTTCTATATTAAAAGATAAAAGAATTCCATAACTATTAAACTTAAAAGACAAATTATTGTTCACAGTGCTGGATTCATTAGATCTATCACTGTGAGTATGTCTATTGGGAACGCTGGCTACAATGAGATCCGTCCTTTAAAAAGGAAAACAATTATGTCTTTTTTTAAAAGAGAAATCTTCATGGTGTTTGGGTAAAAACTTTGGGCCACCAGTTTCTTACTATATTTTAAAGAAACTCAGAATGCATATATTTAAAAATGGTAAAAAAAATAATATTATCAAGACACTGATTTTCCTTAAAAACATGGTACTTGATTTTATCTTCACGTCTGTACCGTAGCGATCACACTACAACAGACAACTTTATATTAGGACATAGAATCTGCATTGTACATATTCATCACCAAAAGACAAAAGTAGACAATGAAGAGGCATTCTGCTCATTCTGAATATGTTCTGCTTGCGGAATACTGCTATATTAACAAAAAAAAGGGCAAGCCCCAAACAATGACCCAACGTGAAAAAAACTACCCAGAAAACTCTTAGAAATATGTGTTACCTATGCCCTATCGTGCAAATGTTATTTAACTGAAGGTCTGAATTTCCTTTCTGTGCACTTACTGGTTGAAACACAAATGTCTTGTGTGCAGATTCAGTTCTGCTGCTTTAAATGGCAAAAACAAAAGTTAGCAATGTGCTCTGTGACTTGCCCACACACTTTGCCCATCAGCTTTTCAGTAGCCAATGTGTGATGAATGTGATGTGATGTCTAACGCACCGTTAGTGGGCAATATCTGCAATCCTGTTAGCATGCAAAGCTTCTTTTTTGATCATCTTCTTCCACTCAGAAAGCAGGCAGCGAGCTCACGATTACCTTCCAGTAACAATGAGAGCTTGTCCTGACTACTTAGTGGCAGAGGTCCTGGACGCAGGAAGCAGGGTGCTGATTATCTATAAGGAATGGCAGTGATAGGGGATGAAGCATTGCCAGGGTCATTAGATATAGAAACAAAAAGTTAGCAGGCAGACAGAAAGACTAGGTTGGGGAGTGTTATAGACACAAAGAGGAGGAACAGAACCCATTCTTACATGATCTGCCCTAGGAAGCTATACATGTACAAAATGACTATGAAAAGTACAGGTTGAACAGGGCTATACAATAGTATTTAAACCAGGCACTTTATTTATTTTTTACACCCTATTGTGCCTTTAATACCTTCCAGCATATAATGTCTGCCTTCCTTTTGTACTGGCACAATTTCTCAAATGTTTTTTGCTTTAATAGAACTGAAGTTTTACAAATATACAGTTCCAATTAGAGCATTCAGAGCATGGTCAATTCATGTGGTGACCCCTAGGGGGCAGCATTCCTCTACTGTAGAGCCCTGTTACACTGTGTGCTTGCATAAGGACAGCCTGTTTGTTACAACAAACTCAACTGTATCCTATGATAATATAGAATATAATAATATTAATATGCAGAAGGAACTGGCTTTTAACGTTGCCATGAATTTTTATTATTAGCTTGCTGTGTAGAGAAGGTTGGACACTTCCAGATGCTGTCGATACAGCCGAGGCGTCTATTTTCTACAGCAATATTTAGGGGTTTTTTTTGGTCTCTTCTCCACGTAGAAAAGCAGAATCAAGTATTTCTGAAGCCCGTGCTAATATTTGGATACTGTCAGTTTCTTAATACTTGTGTCAGCAATGTTTTTAAAGTAAAACATTGGCCGGATAATGTCAGGCTTATTTAATAAGACGGTGCAAGGAGCCAAGATGGTGCGCAATAGACAGTGACGCACGGCAAGCAGATTTCAGTTGGCTAGATCAGTGAAAGATGAATTCTGATTGGCTGTGGTCATTTGCCAGTCGTTTTATTAAATACGCCTATTCCTAAAACTGTATCCTGCGACAGGGTTAAAGGTTGTACAAGGTGGCTTGTCATTTGGCCAATATGATTTGCTAGTAAGAGAGCGTAGGTGGATGTAGAGTGATTGCAAGCCGATAAAAAAAACTGAAAGACCTCCTATTTTATATCAAATACCCCATAATCCTCTATAATCCTTTATACTTAACAGCTATTCTGGACTTCTAAATATACAAGAACATTGCTATCACCTTAAGCAGAGGCCTATTATTTGTGCTATGCAAGATACAAAGATCGACGCATGCGATACAACAGGCTACCGGCCGTTATACAGACCTGGTAAAGCCCAAGTTTAGAGAACTGACACTTCGCTGAAGCTGTTAATCACTGGCACTCTTTATAATACAGACATCCGTTTTTCATTTTGCACGAATGGTGGGCCTCGTGAATCTAAATGGCTGAACGAAGTCGCAGCAGCCAGCCCTTTTCTTGTTGCTGCGGCAGGTCTTCTTTCAGGCACATTTATACACGAGTCCCGGTGTTTTCAGATGCCAATCTCTGAACTCCATATATTCAATTAAAGCCTACCTGTGTCATGAATCCATCACAATGCCATTATTTATTATTGTTAAGACACAGGATGAATAGGTGCCCGGTTGATCTAGAAGACGCTTTGACGGGCCGATACAGCAGCGATTATGGCTTCAGTTTGGTATTTGTTCCCACAAAGCAAATACATGCCTCACAGGTTAACCTTGGAAGTGCTGCTCTGACTCCTTCCCATGTTAACTTGCTGCAAGAGCCCCATACAAGTGTTAGTTATAATCAAGCTCAGCTTAATAATGGCATTTGCATACCCAGGTCAACAACGAACCAGCACGAGTTAAGTGGCTGCAGTACTGTAGCTACTTCATGCGGACTATCCAAGCAAGGGAAAATACAAAAAAGTCATGCCTCCTTCTAGTCACAAACGATCTTATACTTTTCACTGCAAAACACCTGGTTGTTGAGGACGGACCCCTCAGACTTGTCCGCGCAAGAGCGGACGTGACTTACACTGGGGCTACTGGTTTTGTTTTTGGACGTGGACTTAGTGCGCACGCGCTTGGCCTGCTCGTGGTCGATCTCCAGGTGCTCCAAGCGCTGCGTCAGTGCCAGCTTCTGCTGGATGGCCATACGAAGCAGTGAGTTCAAAGTCTTCTTCTCGTCTTCTGCCGCTGCCAGCTGCCTCTGCATTTCATCAAGCTGTGTGACGTACTCGTCGCATCTGTGAAGCAAAACAAAAAATAAATATATTATAGTGCAGAATGGACATTGATCTCTGGGCAAGGCAACGCCAAGAAAGGAGATAACAAATGTGGCTATACCGGTTGCCAGCTTTATACCTCGTCTCCTATCAAGGTTTATCTCAGTCTCATCTTTTCATCCCTCTCTATACATACACACGAATATAAATATAGGTTATGTGGGTAGGGCTACGCATAAAAAAAAGAAACTTTGGACTCCCCTGCATTCTCTGCTTCCCTCAAGTTCAAATGAGCTAACTCATAGCTACGGTCAATTTAGAATAATTTCAGTTGTCAATTTTCCTAGCTACATTCATGGGAGGTGGGTCGAAGACAAAACATGATTGGCTTAGGAGCTATGCATTGGTCTACATGATCAGCAGGTAGTGGAGTATCACAGCATACATATAAAAGCAATTAACAGATAAAGACTGCATATTAAAGCACACACCATCACAGGTATGTCTGCTCTTCCCTAATGGCTGTAATGTTAATCCAAAGCCCGGACTTCAGCTTTAATGACTAAAAATGTGAACAAGGGCCTGCTGGCTCCAGGGTTGGACTGACTGTTTGCCCAATAATTTAGTGTTCGGACACCAGAGGGATTCCCCGGGGGAATGTTAATAATTAATGCATTCAGAAAGGTCCCGCTTCGGGACATATCAAGAATTTGGTAACAGTGGGTCTGTAGACCAAATTATTGGCATGCCACAATTAAAGGAAACCTGTACCAACATAAAAATATAGACTGCTATTGTCATTATCCCAGTAAGAATAGTAGCTGTTGGTGTCAGAGCTTTCTCAGTTACTGATCCGGAACAAGCATGCAGATTAGATTGTCACAGTGAAGTCAAAACTGGTAGGCATGCTAAAAGTGACCCTGTGCATGGCAAAGCAAAAGGTTCACATTAATGTCCTCCATCCTAGCAGCACATGCTTTTTTTGTTCTGTGTTTCCTCACCTCTCCATTCAGGCACCAGGAGCATGGAAAAGGAGCCCGGCATAAGCATCGAGTCGCTCTACTCAGAGCTTACTCAGGGCTAAGGACTCTCTCCTCATCCCCATATAACAGTGTCGTGCCAATAGCCAAGCCCAGCACTGTCACATGAGAGGAAGAGAAGTGGTAGGGGAGCAAAGAAAGGATGAGCATTTCATGTAGGGGAGGCCTATGGAAACAAGTCTAATGTTCTCCTAAATGGGAAGAGCACAGGTTTGCAATATCAGTTGGCATCACATCCGCATGTGGAAACTGCAGTGACTGCAATATCTAAAACTTTCCCTCCAGGTCCTGCACCATGTCCCATTTGCCATTGCACATAGAAGAAGCCCTCCTACCACCATATACACAGCAGTTAAGTGCATGAACTGGGGTTTTTAATGAGAAAATGGCAGGGACACCAGATTATACAAGTTCTCCCTTGTAAAGTAACTTCCATAACCCAGTATCATGGCTCCTTCCCAGCAGCACTAGAGAGAACGGTGGGTGCACACTGCCCAAGCCCGTCTTGCTCCAACATCCATAGTTACAGAAAAAATGTCTGGCCGCACACCGCAAACTACGCAGAAGAACTTATTGTATAACACAGGTACGCGTCCCGCCATGGATCCTCCATTCTAACATGTTTTACCCAGTAATGGGCTTAAACATAGAGCTTGTGATGTGCTTCCCTTTTGTAAAGGTTTCACTTCCCAACAGGACAAATCTCTCTAAAACTGCTGCGTAAAGAATTGCCCGCAATATAAGACCTAGAATAAAATTTTTAAAAAAGGTGCAGACAAAAGCAAATTTTAGTAGAATGGGTAAGGTTGGAACTTCTGAGAATAGTTTTATTGCTGTCTGTATCTTCCTGCCTGAAGACCATTCCACCCCCCCATTTCTAGCCCAGGCACCAGAAAGGACACAAAGTGATGAAAAACCTCTGCAATGGGGACACCGGCAGAGATTACAACAACAGAAATGTTAGCTCTTTCCTACTCTATATAAAAAGTAAAAAGAAAATTGGGCTGGAGTAAGGCTTCAAATAATAAAATGTTACAGGCAGCCTACAGATTTCTTTTTAACTGTGAATGGCCATTTCATCTTCTGGTAATCCCACAAGCAATAAAACTATAAAATGTATTATTACATGTCATAGTACTTGACACATAAGAGTAATTATTCCAGTTTGGGCTGTGGAAATCATTTTCAGTCATTCGAGTTGGGTGACCTGAATCTGACACTCGGGGTCCCTGAGGACCCCCTTCTATTTATACCGAATCTTTCAGCTTTCCCAAAGTGTAATTACAATAGGCCATCCCCCGGGAGCCAGCTTCATGGATTAATAGTTCCCGCTGTGCCCATGCTGCCTCAGGTACTCTGCAGTCTCTGTGGTACAGAAAGAGCACAGACTAATTGCTGTATTTATTTCAAGATATGGAACCGCGGAATCATTTACACTCTGTGGATGGAAGACACGTGTGGCTCCACATATGGCAGCCTTTCAAACAGGGACTGACTGGGGGACATGAACTCATACTGATGAAGGCTGAAAACTGAACCTTTGTAGCTGCATTGTTAAAGTAAGCAATTGTGCCAATTGTTGACCACAGAAACCCAATACTATTATCCTTTTTTATTCTCCCGATTCAGTCCAAACATGAAAGGATGAATCTGCCTTCTTGTTGTGGGCTATGGGTCTCATTGCAAGACCAAGTCAAATACCAAAAGTGTCTGTAATGCCCCAGGTAACCAAATTCGGTCACTTGTCCATGATAGGCTGGCTATGGGGAATATGGCTGCTTACTAAAGATAAAACATACACTTCTAGACAACAAGAGTATCTTTAAATCTTACCAATTGCCAGCTAAGATATTGGATCAGATCCAACATGTAAACTGTCTATAAAGGCAGACACAGAACGTTGCTTAAAGCTGAACTCCAGCCTTCCCTCCAGTCTTGCACAGCTGTACAGACTCCTCTCCTAGACTGAAACTGCTTACTCTGATTTCACTGCATGCTAGGAGCTTTTCACAGTGTGCATTAAGGTGCCCATACACCTTGCGATTATCGTACGATAATTGCAGGAAATCCCGCGATCGTAAGATAAATCGGCAGTGTATGGAAGGCGTGCGACCGTTTCTACTGTACGATCGCACGTCTTTTGTTGAACGAACATGCTAGTAAACCCGCCGAGAATGGTACAATTGTCGGCGGGTTAGTGGCGTGCTCGTTCGACAACTGTGGAACGGGCCTGTGTGCGCACACTGCCTGTTCAGCATTTCGGTTATCGGAAGCCCGCCCCTCAGCGGGGTGGGCTTGCGATAATCGCAAGTACGATCTGCCTGTCCAAGATAGACAGATCGTACGAGCTTTTAATTAGCTTACAACCATCGCAAGACAAAAGTCTTGCGATAGTTGTAAGGTGCATGGGCACCTTTAGTGTGTCACAAGCCGCCCTCATTTCCTGGCTGGAGGACAACCAGCATCATCTAACTGTTTCCTTTCCAACCTTGGTGTCACTGGCCCTTCACTTTCATTCATTGCATTTCAGGTCTTTCAATTATGGAGGTTCAGCATCATGTAGGCGTTTCCTAGGGCAGTCTACATAACAAAAAAAGTCTGTCTAGTTTTGGCCACTCCTTCAGCCGGACATTCACCTATCAAGTTATATAATATTTGCACAACTCCTCCCAAGAGCCAGCCCACTGCTTGCATCAGGGCTGACGGCTCTTGAGAGGCGTACGGAGGCACAGTGCTGTGAAGTTGTCAAGAAGCTACATACAACACCTTGCTGATGCACCTGCATTGCATAGAGAAGGACAGAGACTAAAATGGGGTGTTAATACAAATGAAAAGGTTTTATTTAAACATTTCATGCGCATATTGATGAAGAGGAAAGGAGGAACCAGTGAAGGCAAAATATAAAGCAGAATAGACTTCCGTTTCAAGGGGCTCAGTCCTGCCTCCACTGGGCTGCAGTCGTCAGTTCTCCCAAGTACAGCAAAAAGCAACTTAAATTGGATATATTCTATTGAGTTGCTTTACACTGCACTCAGCAGAACAGCCAAGCACTTGTACACACAGTGACAAAGCTTCTTTGAATTCTAAAAGAAGCAGGTAGGGTGGGCAGTCTGATCCAACTTAGAAGTTGTTTTAAAGTGGACTTGGACTTTAAAACAAGCAAGGGAACAACCAGAAAGGTTAATTGTGCTTCAGTACTCAGAAAGTTTACTTTTTGTCCTGAATTCCCCCTTAAATTGAGCCGTGCACTTCCTTGCATGCGATGGTGCCTAGGCAATCCTGTGCCTGCAGCCCCATAGCTATATATCTGCTGTGTAAAGAGGTACTGCTGCCTGTGACTGCGAGTTTCATGGGGCTATGGAATGAAATTTGGTGATATTACTGCTGCTGTGCTCATTGTTCTCATTGCTGTAGAGAAAGCTGCACCTGAAGACCTGCAGTGAAAGTAGCTCCCTGCTCTATCTATTCCATAGAACTGTGCTTACAACTGATTTTTTATATCATTTTGCAAGGTAATTATTCCATACTATAGCTCAGGCTGTTTTTCCATGCTTTTTTAGTTTTATAAATCATCACCCCCATCTTCCCCAGTTACAAGTATGCATTACATTTTATAAACAGATCAGCAGGTTTCTATAAATTATTTGGAAAGTCGAGATTCAGCCTGTATAGTGTCAATTCCTTCTGCAGCTGGCCTGTATATAACTACCGCTCAGCTATAGCTGATTAACGTTCTGCACTGGAATGATCAGCCCAGATGGGCATAAAATCACTTTAATTAAGCTTTTGGTTTAATTAATAATGTTCAGCAGGAAAACGTGTAGCTGGCAAGAATAGAATTCCCCACACTGGCTTTCCAAAGCATGGCATACAACCTTCATCTGAGAATGAATTGTAAATCAGCTGTACGTGGCTGACTGTAGTGGGAAGCCAGTGTTTGACTACACAAAGAAGCATCAAACCACGGGGAACCTGTGCTGACAGAAGTGTATAAGCTGCCATTGCTGAGCTCTCCTTCTGAGAATGCTATTCTCATGCTTATTCTCAGGCTGTCATGATCTTTCAATGGCTTCAGTAGTTTGAGTCAATGGTCTGAAGGCCTGTGACTCAAACAGTACTGGTTCTGAAGGGAGTCATGAAATTTCCCTGCTGTAGCCATCATGCTGACCTGCTTCAAAACGTATTCAATCACTCATCCAGAAGAAGTATACAGATTAGACAAATAAGTCCTTCTTAGCATTATTAGTCTTGGGGATTCAGGGTACCGAAGGAAGAACCTCAGCATGGCAACCTCCATTTCTTTTTTAGGACAGGTTTCTTTTATATGGCTGGATGCATGTTTTAGGTCAGTAAGACTTCATTGGTCATTGGTAGGGGGGAATTTACAGGAGCCTGCACTTTTAGTTTAGCAATTAAAGGAGAACTATGAGGTGACTGAAAATCACTCATCCTCATAGTTCGAGCCGAAGTGTGACAATGAAACTGTCACACGTCGTCTCAATAGATCGGGAAGTGAGTGAACACATACCGTCGCTCGCTCACTTCTCAATCATGTCCCTGCAGAGAGCAGCGACTGCCAGTCACCGGTCCCCGCAGGGATTCCCCCCCACCCCCTTCCTGCACCGATCCTCCAGCGCTGACTGGAGGAACGGACGGAGAGGGGGCGGGCACAGCTGGCTCTGCCTCTAGATAGGCAGAGCCCGCTGTCACTCACGCAGCTGGGTGGATCTCAACAGCATTGTCGAGATCCGTCCTGGCTGCGGCGCTCTCAGTATACCGCAAGCTGTATCTCGCTATATACTGAGCTTTGGGTCACGGGAGGAAGTTACTATATGTCCTCCCGTGACCCTGGAGAGAACCATGGGGTAAAACACTTACCCCATAGTTCTCTTAGCTACCGTGTTTTCATCCTCAAAGATTTTCATCCTCAATGTCTAAATCGGTATAAGTAACTCATGAAAACATGTTACCTTAACGGCTGATTCACCAATATATGCTACATATTTAATATTCTGTATACATTCAATATTTTAGATATCAGCTTTTACTGACCTGAAAAATCTTGACTGGTAGCTAGACAATGATAGTTCCTATGTAGTATGATTTGATTAATGAAGCCCTAAGAAATATGAAGTTATACAGTTTAGCAAATTGGGTCCCTTTAAATGTAACTGAATAAGGACACGCGTTTGGTATTTCAAACAATCCCCGTAAACATTAGGGGCCCATTCAGATTTGTGTGTTCTGGTAACACGTGTTTTACTATTTGTTACTGCAATGCGCACATTGTGGTGCATTGCAGTGCCATTCATTTTGAATGCAGTAGAAGCCAACCCAAATACATGCTAGCACATCACAACACACATGCTGTGTGTTGTATGCTTTTTCCAACAAAAAAAAGCAGCTGGTCCAATGGTCCACTGTGGTGCACTGGAAGCAAAATGCATGTTACTGCTTGACATAACGAATAATAATGCAAATTATCTCTAACAGAAACAAAGCAGATTGGGGAGCCCCACTCCAACCTAAATTGGCCCAATCTGCATAAAGAAAACATCTGCAAATTTCAGCCATTCCAACTAGCAGAGCAGATTTCTTAGATTTGATCTTCTCAAAGCAGTTTTTTTTATTTTTTATAATAGACGCCACATATTATATCTCTAATGTATAAAACCTCCGAGTCGGGTAACGCAATGAATAATCCATCTTGTTGCATATTCTAACATTGTGAATTCCTTAAAGTGTTCTGTAGTTTTCTATGCATGTGTTAACATCAAAGGGAAAAGAAAACAATGCTAGCTGTAACAGTTTACTTAGGAATAATCCTGAATGTCAGCAGAGAAAAGAAATATTCCTGTTCCTGTCTTTTGTTGGATATAGAGGAAATCTGAGTATGACTTATAACACGTATTGTGAATTGTTCTCTGGGGCTTCACAACCTTGTTAAACGTTACAGCCTGTGGGAAACTCTCAGCACTTTAAAGGCTGCTGACCCCACATCAAAGCATTCAATAGTTCTGTCAGACCTGCAGTAGTTTCACAATGGACCTCAGGCTGTTTACCTATATAGATTTAGAAGGCACATTAGACCTCATTTACCCAAAATTTTAAATGAAACTGACAGCTATTTTAACTCCTGCCTAAGGGGCAGCAACATAATCTTGCCATACCAAAAAAAGCCAAGTACTATCAGACACTATTCAATATGCCCTACAATGCAGGCTGCCAAGATACTGGCACTTTAAGGCACCAGGTGTAGGGGGATTCACAATAGTGTTCAAAGTACTTTGTTCAGTGGTGAGTAAAAGTTATTTGACATCAAAAGTAAAAATGGCCAAATAACTTAGGGCATGTATATTACATGATTGGGTGGTTCCATACTACCTTGACCTTTATTCTGTGGTAGGTAAAGGTTATTTAACATCCAAAGTGAAATTGGCAAAGTACTTTTTCATTCAGGAAATGCATATTAGCACATTGCTCATAAATGGGAATATTTTAAACTTTGTAAGTGTCTAATTTTACATACATAATATGACTAGGACGTTCCATACCAGCTTGACCTTTATTCAGTGGTGGGTAGGGATGCGCCGATACCGATACTAGTGCCGATGCCGAGTATTTGGGCTCTGATGCCTAGCCCGATGCTTCCGGTATCAGGAAGCCGGGCAGCGAGTCATTACATGCTGCGCGACTTCCTGATTGGTTGGGAAGCCGGCTCCATGCTCCCTTGTCACGAGTCATTACACGGTGCTCAGCTTCGTTATTTGTTGAGAAAATATCGGTACTCATACTCAATACCAGAAAAAACGGTATCGGTGCATCCCTAGTGGTGGGTTAAGGTTATTGGGCATCCAAAATTGCCAAGGGTCAAAATAGTAAGGAACTTCCCAATCCCAAGCATGTTATATATGCAACATTAGGCACTTATGTAGTGAAAAATAATCAGGTTTATCAGCAATGTGCTAATATACATGCCCTGTGACGTTCAAACACAATCAAAATGAGTGGTTTAACATAACCACATCAGGTCCCTGCAATAGAAGAGCATTTATACTTACCTATCTGGTGGCCCATATCTCCTACCTTACCTCCATTCCAGAGCCACAGCTACTGCAAGTCTCTTCAGTACTCAACACTTCTGGCAGTGTTGGGTGATTGTATCTTCTGCCCTATGCTCTGGTTCCATCTTGCAACCCCTACATCTCTGGTGCACCCTGTACTGACATAGGGGTCGGAGGATGGAACAATGGCACATGGTGGAAAGGGGAGTAAAAAATGCTCTTGCTGCTGCAAGGACCGGGTCTCTTTAATAACCCCGCACTGCATACCTTGTGGCAAACATGGCTCGGAGAGAGGAAAATGTAGCAGCGTCCTCTTTGAGGGCCTTCAACTCGTTGCGGAGTTTCATCATGGTTTCGGTCACCCTGGCTTTTTCATTCTCGTACTTGCTCTTCAGGTTGGCAAGAGCAACCTCTGCAGTCTGAAAACATTAAAAAGAAAGTAAGGAACTGGATATATTCCGACACCACCACATATTACTGGAAAGCGCAGGATATAAATGTTATGAGGCCACATACTTGTACACAATAGCAGAGCGAACCATATTTTTATCATGATCCATTTATTTTATTTCTAAGCATATAAATGGTAACTGAATGTGTATGGCAATCTGTTTTATGTGTCAGAGTCAACTGACTCACGGGCCCTGTAATTTGCTCTTGTCCTGCACATGACTAGGACACATTACTGAAGAATGTTTCCACTTGAGTATGCTCTTCTGGACTTTGTACACACAGGCTTCAGCTTGTATTGCAAATTTTTTAGACGCTTTCTCTGATCCTTTAAAGCACCCTTCCAGTTCCAGTTTGGAGTAGCTGAATCTTACCAGTAGCACTGTGATCCCTGGCTGGCAAAATGATGCACCTCCAGGAAGAAAGGTAGAGAATTGTGACATACAGACCTTACAAAAGCCTCTTTGCACAGGTACTATTAAATATAATAGCGAGAGGAATGGCACTGAGGCCTGATTTGTTTATGTAATATAGGCAGCCAAGTTAAAGATTGGCAATTATAGATGACTTACATTTCAGCAGCAATTAAATGAAATCTGAGGGTGGCCGTGCAAGCACCACCTAGCTTGACAAAAGTCTATTTAAAAACTGATCGGGGTAGAAATGTATTGGCCAAACAGTGATGGAATCCTATCAGATGCAGTCATTGTTCAGGTATTCAGGCAGCCGCGGGGGCAAGGTGCCTGTCTGAATACAACAGCCGGCAGAAGAGATTCCTCCATTTCTGATTCTAGCAATTCTGAAAGAATGCACTTTTCTGGACAAAGCATGTAACCTTTACGGAATGACTGAATTAAGGCCTTTAGCAGACCCAAAACCAGACGTATTTTCTTCTTGCCATGTGTCTGCATGCATAGTAATTCATACATGTACCACATGAAGTTATTTGAATATATTACAGTGCTCCCCTGAGCATTACTGCATTTTCTATTCTCCCCAGGTCAGCTCCATTTTGGATTAGAAATCATCGAGGGTCTGCATCTACTGCCTGGACTTGGATGCTGGCCCACAGTTGACACAATGATTTAAAGAACAACTCCGGGAAAATAAAAAAAACTTGTCCTTGCAGTGGAGCTACCTTCACAAGTGCTCATTTTGTGTAGGCAACTCAAATAAAGCAGATTTACTTACCTGATCCTTGCACCTTCCGGCTCCCTCCAGCCTCTCCTCCCCCCTGGGTTTCAGCAGTCTAAAGAACGCTGATGTCGTCACGTTTTATGCAGGCCCATTGATCTGCATTAGACGTGAGGACGCTGAGGTACATTCCATTGCCAAACTGGAGGAGGGAAAAGGTGGGCACTGACCGCAACGAGACCAAGGATCAGAAGAGTAATACAATTTCAGGGGTGTGGAATTCCCATCAACTGACGCCCAGGACATGCAGTTCCAAGTGCCAGGCGGGTGGGGGTTTTTTCTACATGTAGGGCTAAATGTAGAAGCAGGGCTAAATGTAGAATAGGGGAATCCGCTGCTCATTTTACAAATGATCTGGGTGGCTGAACAGCCACCTAGATCACTTGTAACATAACAGCCCGCTGGTCAACCCGAACGTTTAGGCATTCTCATGTTTATTTCTTTGGTTTGTATTTGTATGACACAAAAAAGTGGAGAAAAAAAGCCAAATCTGACACATTCTACGCAATCCCGGCTGCCTCCCTCCCCATCGTGGTTTTTGGGGTCCCACGCTCTTCTGGGGGACTCTGGACCACGGTAAATTACATCAGGATGGAGAGCGCTATACTTACCTTTTGGTGAACAGTCCTTCCGCCCTACCGGTACGGGTGTACTGTTGAAACCCCATACCATCGTCCAACACAGCCCTAAGCTATGGATTTCACTCTCAAATTCCAAGCACTCGTTGGTCAGCGCAGTCACCTGACTGCACTGACCAATGAGATGTCCTTCGTACCACGGTTCAATACAGTTTTGGTTAAAACTATTATTTGTATCAGGATAAGTAGATTGTCATGAGGGACAAGTAGATTGGGCCCCTGCTTTAGTCCGTTGACAAGTCGTTTTTTCCGCCACACCCCTGAACTTTATATGAGCCCCCTAGACAAATGAACACTTAACCCAAGCAGTGAAGGGATAGCCCCATTGCAACGGGTGAGTTTTTTATTTTCCCAGAGTTCTTTAAATCCTGATGTCTATGTTCTCGGCTGAGTGTACACATACTGTAGGTCTCAATAGATAGTCCCAAGCAGCTGCCACAAATTTACAATATTACAAAAATCTGACTCCTGCCTATAGCAAACTGATGACAGAATTCTCTTATTTGAAACATGCTATCTTGAAATAAGCTAACTGACAAACTCTGTGTAATTAATAAATTCTTTTAAATAAATATTCATGTAATTTTATTGGTATCTATCTACCAATAGCTGCCTCATTTCCCACCCTCGGCTTATATTCGGGTCAATACTTTTCCCCAGTTTTTTTTGGTAAAATTAGGTACCTCGGCTTATATTCGGGGCGGCTTATACTAGAGTATATACGGTATATAGTAATGAAGTATTCTTTGAAGTAAGGCAAACAGAATTTGGTGATATAAAACTATATAAGGTTCTCATTTTATCCAGTATAGGTTTCATATAGGTCTTTTCAATTTATTTGATTGAATTGTGGCCTTAATTTTTGCAAAATGTATTCAACAGTATTTAACAAAAAAATGCATTTTCTAAATCTGGAATACAAGCCATCTAAATTCGGTCAAAGCACAGCAGACGAACATGGTTCTTAAAGGAAAGATAACAATGAATTTGGAAAAAAAGAGGATATATTGCTTTGATTTGATTTACAAAAAGAAAAAGATTCAGCTGCTTCAGAGATTAATTGCAAATACACTTTCCCGTCTGCAATAATGAAACCTAACCTACTTTCTTTGGAGCATATCGCCCAATGAATAAATTATAATTTAAATAATAATTGCTTAAGCTCCATAGCCAATTGCTACTCACTTGTTTGTTGGCTTTCAATACGGTGCGCAGGGTAGCGATTTGCTCCCTCTTTGTGCTGAGCAAAGACTTCAGCTTCAAGATGTCCTCCATAAGAGTTTCTTTGTCTTTGTCCACCGCTGGTCCAAGCTCCTGGCTGGCCACCTGCTGCCGAGACAGCTCTGTGCTCCTGTCCACTGCAGCTTGTAAATGTTTGATCTGGTCACGGATTATGGCTATGAGGTTGTAAATGTTCATGGGTTCCTTTCTGTGGTCAGAAACAGGTGATGGAATTGGAGATACTGGAGATCCAGACTCGCTTTGGCCATTTTCTGTGGTCAATAGACCTTTGGAAAGCAATATTGGTGACCTGCGCCCTTTACCCTCAGGACTGTTCCTGCCACCTTTTCCCTCCTTGTAGTAATCCAGCATGACCCTGTTGGGTGTAACATTGTTGCACATACAGACATGGTGGTACAAGTTGGCCAATTCTTCACTAAATGTGACAAGCTCATCCTGTGCCACAGTGAGACTTCCTTGTGTTTCTCCTGCCACGTCACTTACTTTCTTCAGTTCTTTCTCCAGCCTGACAACTTGGTCTCTGTCTTGCCATGTGGTCTTTTCTAGCTGGGAGATCTTTTCTGCCATAGATTGAGTCTCGCTTTCGAACCTGGTCTTATCCTCGTCGTACTTAAGCTCACAGTCTTCATACTTGGACTTTACAGTCTTCAGTTCCTCTTTGAGGTCATGAATTTCTGCCACAGCAATTTTGTATTTGCATTCCAAAATCTCAGGGCCATTAATGTCAACCTCATAGTAGTCCCCATCTTCATGGCTGTCCCTCTCTTTCTCATTGTCTAAGGCAGACTGACGCTCCTTGGTGGCATGGAGTTTCTTCATGGCATTCAGGTTCTCAGTAAGCCTGTTGACTTTGTCATTCTGCTCAGAAAGAACTCCTTTGGTGTTCTCCAACTGTTTCTGAGACTCCTGAAGGGTAGACAAAAGACCAACCTTCTCTCTTTCCACCTAAAATATCATTTTTATAAACATGAGATGAGAAATATAGAAATAAGAATGAAATCTCAAAAATGACTTTTTGTTAACAATTAAAATATATAGCAACTACTAAAGCTGTGACTGCATATAAAGTCGGTCCCGCTGTGGGTTGCAATCTGTAACTACAGTTCAACCAAACCATCATGGAGTCATGCTTATAAGAACCTGTTATACACAACTAAAAACAGCAGAATCAAATGCAAAGGAGAGCACTGTGCAAAGCTCCGTATCATCGCTTGAACCACTGCCGGCTTACAGAGGTGGAAGCATGGGTTTGATTTCCATCAGGCCACTATTTGCTTGAGTTTGTAGCTCTTCTCAAGTGTTCTACCAAGGTGTTTGGTTTCTCCTTTTTGTTACCCTTTGATGGTATACAGTGCTAGCACTCTGGTTGGTTTAAATAAGCCTGCAATATTTACAGTTTGGGCAACTAGTTTAAACATGCTTTGTAGTCAGAGCCCCACTGTTACGCACCTGAACACAGAGATGATGAACCTGCCTAACTTGACCTGAGGTGTGCCATGGTCGCTATGGACAGTATCCAAATAAGGGGACATACACAAAGAGTAAAAATGTTACCAGAAGGGGTAAGGTCGGGTGGGGTGTCACGAACGTACTGACAGATGAGTAGGGGAAACGGAGAGGTTTAAATGTGTGGGGCTCCTCCCACAAATACGGCTAACAAGTTAGCCTAAAACATGTCATTTGTTACTTAATCCGGTATGTATTTGATAAATATCAATTACCTTTATACTTCACACCGGTGGTGTGCCTTAAACACTTCCTGTATTATGAAGATGTTTTGGCACCCACCAATTCATTGTTTTGAGTTGAGGTTTATAAAAAATAGATACTGGGTAGCTAGAATATCTTCTTTTTGGGTATACATTCTGCATGTGGTGGAGGGAGATGCCCTCAACAAAATTCCCAACTCTGCCCAATTACCGCAGACATTAAAAATCCACTGATGGTGTCACACAGATGGATTATCAATCATGTACAACACATTACTTGGGAGTCTAGCTGTAACACCGTCACACTCTTACCATGACTCTATGGCAGAGGATGAAGACAGACACAGTAACAGGGAATTCTAATTAAAAGGAGCCTCTGAGACGTGTAGAGATTGATCTTTGAATTACCAATCCATATCAGTAGTGTGGGAATAGTGTTTTAAGTAGGAAATTAAAATATAGCTATTTGTAACACTGTCTGAACTATTCTACAATGAGAAACTCCATGGCCTCGTTTCCTTATAATCTTTTATAATGTTGGCCATGAAACCTCTTTTATCATACCTGCATGAGCTGCTGTTTTAATTTCTGTATTTCTGAGATATTCAGCTCGCTTAGCAGATCAGAAACCAGACTTGGAGCTGGGTCGTTCTTCTTGGGGGTGGACATCTTGTTGTCAGCATTCATTTTGATGACCTCATTATGGTCAAAACCATTCATGGAATCATCATTGTTAGGCTCGGTGATCTCATCGCTGAACTTGAGTCCATCCAGGGAGATGCTCAGATGGTTGCTGTACATGGAGTCATTGATGTTCATGTAATGGGACAGCTCTTTACGCAGGTTGTTCTTCTGCTCACGTTCTGTCTTCAAAGTCTCCAGAGCTTCCTCCAGCTGCCTCTCCGATATCTCTTTTAACCGAATGGCATCTTCCAGTTGGCTGTTCAGGAACTCCGTCTCCTCCTCCAACCTTTTGATCTCATGTTTAAGACCTTCAAATTCCACCTGGAGAAAACAATTTATAAGAAATGTAAAAATCTGCTCATACGGAATGCTATACTTCAAGGACAATAGCTGGGAAGGCTGATAACATGGTTTCATATTTTAGTTGAATGCACAGAAATTGACAAGTATTTTCAACAAGATCAATAACCGGTATGTTTCTGTACTTGCAGAAAATGTACTTAGCACCCCCCAAAACAAAATGTACACAGCTACAATATTTAAGGGCTGGTAATCTAATATATTAATTTTTTTGTTCTTGGTGTTTAGATATCACTGCAAACATACTTCAGTGCCTAACTTTTACATATCTCATGTTTTTCAGCTTCTCTTGGAACTAAGGCTTAGGGCCTGTTCATACTGTTGCTTTACATTAATGTGTGTTATACCGCGAGTTATAGTGCACTGTGTCATGGCAGCCCTTTCATTTCACCAAAAAAGGCTCAAGTAATATTTTTTGTAACACAGCACACTACAATGCACGCCTATTAGCACGGTGCATCAGGGAACCACTCAAAAATGAAGAGTACCACTTTGCAAAAGCACTGCATACTTGCTTTCTGATGGCCTGTGTGCTGAAAATCCGCTCCCCGGCTGCTACAAGTATTTGACCATGGTAAAGGTTGAATACTTGCTATACTTGCTCCCCAGCCTCTGTCCAGTAGTGACATATGAGTTGACAGTAACCACAGTGGACAACAGGGGAGCAAGTATTCTACACACCCTTACATATAGCATATTAGCAGCAGCTGGGGAGTGGAAAAGCAGCAGCTTTTTAATACACGGCCTAGCAGATAGGCAAGTATATTCACACTACCTTTACAGGTGGCCTATGGCAGAGTCACTTTAACAGGCACAATGGACGGGGGGAAAAAATCAAAACTAGCTCCAAGACTTAACTCTCTTTTTAAGGAAATGTACATATGGTTGACTTCGAATACCCAAAATTATTTTCTGGGATTCCTATAGGAATCCTGATGTACCCACCTGGTTTTGCTTGAGAACAGAGACTTGCTTCTGCAGGGATATATTCTCCTCCTCCAGCTCGGTGTAATCCTGGAGCAGCCGTGCTTCACGAAACTTGTACTCCTTGATGTCATCGCGAAGGCGAGTCCGCTGCACTTCCCCATTCTGATTCAGCTGGAAATACATAAAAATCAAAACATTGAAATCATCCATCGCAGATTATAATGGTGTTACCAAAAGGATCATTGATTTGTCCTATACAACATACAAATACCATTTATATTTGACTCAAGGTTCCATTCTCTTGTTGCAAGTCTATGAGTCAGGTCTAAACTTATAAAATACAACTGACACATAAGGCAAACTGAGCTGATATGTCAATAAGCAGGGATGCCAATTACAGTCCCTGATGTACAGATGATCAATACACGGGAGGTGATTATAAATCCGTACATGACATCAAATCGTCAAGAGAATATAGAGAAAGTCTGAACGGAACAACAAACATTATTTCCATGTAACAGTACAATAAAGTACTTCTGAAATATACACCACAGATTTAATTTAAGGAACAATATTTGTCACCCATTTTAAGTCCAAATAAATTGGATCATTTCCCCAAGAGTGGAAATACAGTAATAGGAGACATAAGGGTTGTGCATAGGGGATCATATTATATAACCAGAGATGCAGATTGCTTGTGCGTTTATATTGCCTTGTGCGGTTATAGCGCTGCAGACCTGACTTATCTGATGAGCAAAGACTGTAACGTACATCTGCAGACAATCTGAATTGATGTCCCTCCCTGTGTCTGCTGAAAGCATACTGCATAGATATATGGGATTGTGCACGTACTGACAGGAAGAGACTATTACAAAATTGTAGTGCCCGAGTTCTGGATAAGGGCAGAAAAAAATTTGTTGCTTTGTGCAACCAATCCAATGTTTGATTTCACTTTCTAACCCCCAGCAGCACAAGGACAGCTGAAATCTGATTAGTTGCTGTAGCAAAAGACATTTACCTCCAGTTTATATTCGGAGACTCAATGAGGGGGATTTATCAAAACTGGAGCAGACAAAATCTGGAGCAGCTGTGCATGGCAACCAATCAGCTTCTCTCTTTCATTTTCTTAACTGAGCAAACTGAAGAGAGAAGCTAATTGGTTGCCATGGGCAACTGCTCCAGATTTTGATAAAGTCTACCCAATGTTTGTAGTTATCCTTCCAGAAGGAGCTGTAACTTGCATTTCTTAATGAGCTGTGCAAAACCCCCACACCCATAATCCTTTGCAAAAGCAGCATGAGCTGAATGCGACAACAGCTGATGTAGAGCACTAAGCAATCCAAGAAATGACTGAATAGAAGCTCTCGGGCTGATCTAAATCTATTCCATGTGCAAATATTAGAAAAGAAAGTTCATAAGAAATGTTACGTTTTCGTTTCTTTACACATAACTGCGGATGAAAATGAAATGAAGACAGCAAAAGGCCTTTGAACGGTTTTTAGCCCAGCAGATTAAAAAGCAGAGACACAGAAATCCCATTATGAAGTCGGCTGCCTAGAACCTGTGATGTTCCCTACATTCCTTTCCGATTGTCACTGAAGCTGAAAATAACTGGAGGTGCCCATATACTGCACGATTCTCGTACGAGAATCGCGGGAAATCTCACGATCGTACGAGAATCGTGCAGTGTGAATGAAGACGTGCGACCGTTTCTACTGTACGGTCGCACGTCTTTTGTCTAAGGAGCATGCTAGAAAACCAGCCGAAAATCTTACGATTCTCGGCTGGTTTGAATGATGCTCGGGAGACAAATGCCAAACGGGCCGGTGTACGCACGAGCACACTGCCCCTTCAGCATTGCGGTCCCTGAGGGGCGGGCTTGCGATGATCGCAAGTACGATCTGCCTGTCCAAGATGGGCAGCTCGTACGTTTTTTAAATTACTTTACAACCATCGCAAGACTAAGATCTTGTGATGGTTGTAAAGTGTATGGCCACCTTTATTCATGCTACAGGCTGGGATACAAGCTCTTCACACTAAGAAATGATATAGAAGGTTAATACAGTTTAAGTGCAGATCGCACTTCAATAGCTTATTGCTCAGCTTCAGGAGTCCAGCAATGACAGCTATGGGACCAGAAGTGATGCAATCCGCGTCGCTCCCGGTCCCATAGAACGGGGAGATCATCGATCAACGGACCGGCCAAGATGCTGGTCCCGGGAAACACGGCAGTGACGGGAGGGGGTGCGGAAACTTTACTGGCCCGTAGGAGCGATCTGGCGTCAGCTGAGCCACCAGAATCGCTTCTACTGCAAAGCCGGCTCTACAAATGTTAGCCACGGAGTCTTTTTAAATGGGCCCGCTGCCAGTGACTGCTCGCTAAGGGTTAATTTTTTTCAATTTTGACTGAAGTGTAGCTTCAGGCCAAGCATGAAAACATAATGGCCGCCAAAATTTATAACAGTCGGTGTGATTAGAAGAAGGTGTCAAGTTAAAAAGAAGCATGAATGCGGGTCCAAAGAAATATACACAGTATACAGCGATGACGAAAGCCCCTGTAGTATTGAGCTTTCCTCCTTCTCTACACTAAGCTACAGCTGTGCCACTGAATGAGCAATAAAATAAAATTACAGGGCACAGAGCCGCCACAGATAAACCGAGAGACTGCAATAAGGAAACGCGGCTGCGTGTAACAATAGCCAATTCTTCACATAAAGCTGTTCGAGTCGGCGGCTTCTCTTCCCGGCATAAATGACTGGACTGGCAGAATGTAGCTGAGTACAGAGAATGGCTTTTATTAATCGCTTAAAATATATAATTGGGCATGCCGATGAGACAGTAATTGCGATGGCGACTATTACCACCACAGCGCAGATTAATGGGATAAAGACTCGCCTTCTGTTAACCGTTTGCATCGCTGAGATACAGGACAGAGTACAATTTATTCTGAAAGTTACTAGAATTTTCGAATGAACAGAAAAATGATAACATCATCAAATCGGATTAAGACGGATCGCCTCTCACACACGGAGGTATGCGTAATCTACTCGGCAAGACCGACACAACGTATATGCCAAATCCTAATAATTAGAAATGCTTAGAATTTAATGGTCTGAGTAGCCCATCAGGTCAGTTTAATTATGCGGCAGGCAGAAGATGACGACCCAACATGGTGAAAAATTTGAATAGCATTAGCATATCATGCACACTCATATCGCCAACTCATATCACCAATGGCAATGAGAATATTAGGGGGGAATTGATCAAATATGGAGCACATGGGCATGGCAACCAATCAGCTTCTCTCTTTCATTTTTAAATCTTAACTGAACAAACTGAAGAGAGAAGCAGATTGGTTGCCATGCACATCTGCTCCAGTTTTTGTCTTCTCCAGTTTTGATCAATTCCCTTCAATGTGTTTTCAGTGGAGCCAAAGATGGTCTGCGAAAATCAAAGGTGTTAACCCAAAAAGGGTAATGCGTACAGAGACGGTCATCTAATCTGTCCGAAATAAGACAAATAGTGTGACATCTAATGTGTAGAGTCATTTGAACAAATTATTACAATAAAATACTCATTGGAGCTTGTTGGATAATTATTACTTCTCCGTTCCTGTGCTATGCGTCATATGTGTAAACGAGCCCAATCCAAAAAACAGCCACATGCTGCCAATCTTCATCCAGCACTTCTTGATTTGTAAAACGCAGTCAAATCCAAATTTCTCCCTTGCTGTTCACTCACCTCTAACGCATTTCACCCAATTGGGCTTAGCCGTAGATATGAACGCTACAAAACCGTGTTTTTTTTTAAAATGGTTTATAACTTTTTATTCATAGTATGAAAAAGTAAACTAAAAAGCAGACATGGAGCGTTTTAACTGAAACAGTGACCCATGCATTGTGGTGCACTGCAACACATATGTGTTGCTTTGTTGCATTGGGGTGCTGTTTAAAATAAATGGCACCACAACACACTAATACAGCATGTGTTGCAGTAACCACAATCAATGTAACCATCACTAAAGTGCATATCAGCCCCATAAACACACAGGGAGAAAAGCACAAATTGCCAAGTATCTGTGACAACCAATCAGAATCTACACTATATGGTCAAAACTTTGTGCACACCTGACCATCATACCTATATGAGCTTGTATACAACGTGCCATTGCAAAACCATGGTTCCCCATTGTAGCCATCACAGCTTCCACTCTTCAGAGAAGGCTTTCGGCAAGATTTGAGTGCGTCTGTGGGATTTTGTGCCCATTTATGATATCATCTCTTTGCACTGGAAGATCTGGCTTGCAATCAGTTTTGCGATTCATCCCACAGGTTTTCAGTTGAGGTCAGGATCTGTGCAGACCACTCCAGTTCCTTCACACTAAACTTATCAAACCACTTTATGGAGATGGCTTTGTGCAGGGGACAGACATGGTAGTAGAGAAAAGGGCCGTCCCCAAACTGTTGTCACAAGGTTGGAAGAGCTCAACTGCCTAAAATATATTTGTCTGCTGCACCATTAACAGAACCCTTTACTAGGAATACCTGAACTCAATCATTGTGAATGGTATCTATCATTTTGGCCATATAGTGTATCTTCTCCTGGTCTGACTTTAGTAAAGTGAAAAAATGACAAAGGCCAGGACCGCACAGCAATCGTGTACGAAAACCACACGGATGGCCGCTCGGTCACAGAATCGAACACCACCGCTGACAGGACTGGCGGTGCCATTCTTTTCTAATGACACCCCAGTTGCACCAGACAGATCACGCAGTTTCCAGCAATTGCAGCTGAAAAAAACAAACGTTGCGAGAAAAGTACATGTACCTTTTTTCCGCACGGATGTAACCCCATTGATAATCAATGGGGCCGCGCGGCAAACCAAGTGTGCACCTGGCCTAAATGAGGAAACTAATGCCTCTGAATGTTTTTTTTCTAGATGTTGTATTAGAACGGATTATTGTTTTCATTTGTAAGATGTCTTTTCTACTTTTTAGGAAAAGGATGCAAAATGTATATGAAAGACTGCTGGACCAACAAACAGTTAAAGGAGAACTATGAGGTGAATGCTTTTCACTCACCTCATAGTTCTAGCCGACCTGTGACAATGAGACTGTCACAGGTCGTCTCCGTAAATGAAGAGAGAAGCAGATTGGTTGCCATGCACATCT